AAAAGCATGTTTTTTTTTTAGCTTTCATCGCTGGTTTATGGTTTTGTAAGAGTTCAATGTACTGTAAAAGAGAAAATAATACTGTTGCGTTTTCGTACACATACGTCATGCTTTTAAAGAGTTGGTGAAAGCATGAAAACGGCTCTTAAAATGTGTGCTGGTCATTTGCCTTTGCTTACAAAACCAAAACCATGATATTTAAGTTGTGAACACAATACATTTCCTCAACATAATTGCACTTTTCCATTGGCTGACGTTACACAGAACCGTAACCAATCGTTACATAAGCACTGAAGGGGGCGGGGCTATCTGGTGCCATGTCTATGGCTGTGTTCCCAATACTGAATATTGCTTAGTATATACTAGCTATGTTTTTAAAAGGTTCATTTACATATTTTCATATGTCTTAACATACACGAACATAATGTTTTAACATTTGATGAGTCAAGAAAGACACGTTCGGTGCACTGTATTTTTGGATGCAGTGCATTAAATACACGCATACTGCATACATACATAGTATGTTAGCATGCTATTCTGAACACAGCCTTAGATAATGTTTTTACAACATATCTCCAAGTTTTTAGTGGAGACATAAAGGATGTTTTTTCCATGACACTAAAAAGAAAATGATATATCATATCTATCTGCATTTGCGTTAAAAAGACAGATAGAAGACATAAAGTAGTTAGATAACAGATTTAACTTTTTAAACCAGATTACCATGATGAAAATGGTCAAACTCTTTGTCTTATGAAACTCTGAGATACTAAAGTCTTTGGGATTATGCAGGGATTTCTGATGAAATGCACTTTGAAATGCGTCAAGTTACTGCGAACGAAGCATTCCGTTTCCGTCAGGCGAAGATGATTTAATTAAAAAATGTGTTTAGAATACAAAATAACTAATATTAGGTTTGTACACTAAAATACTTAAAATGTATTGCATAATTGAAAGTATTGAATGGATGGAGGCCAGGAAGGTAAACAGATCTTTCTCAATTTATAGAAAATATTTTATGGCATGATGTGAAAATATTCTCTCAATGACTGTGCTTAAGATTTTGAGAGAGAAAAAGGAGAATAATTCTCGTTACGGTTATTTAATTTAAAAATAAGCTGTGACTGAACAAAGTTGTTTGTGAAGTGCACTAGTTTACAGTGTGATAATGCCACACATTAAAGCTAATGTTTATTCAAACGAGTGAATTCATTTCGCATCAGATTTCCTACCGCGTTAAAGGAAAAACTCACCTAAAATAAAAAAAATATTTACGCACTCTCATCCATATCGTTCCAAACCTGTATTACGTTATTTGCTGAATAAAATGACACGAGGGTGTTTAAATGATCACTTAATATTAATTTTTGTGTGAATTATTACCTTAAAGCATTGACGAGTTTAGATTTAAAGCCGTTTTTAACGCACAGACATGATGCCTCTGTCAGTTTGTTTATCCTCTTGATGAAAAGAGAGTCATTGTCCAATGGAGAATGTCTCTCAATAAGTTCAAGACGGGACAATCAAATGCCTTTTACGCCATCAACATTGTAGCATGACCTTGTGGGGCGGTAACAACATGATCAGATCCTTAAAGGTGAAATGTGTCCTTAAAAAAATTGTATTTCATCGTAATATTGCAGAGACAACTATTAGTCCCCCACGTATTAATCCGGACAGCAACATTATACCTCAAAACATTTGGCCTGGAGAGGTGTATGTTTACTCTTCCCTGTGAAGAGCCATTTCTGACGCATAATAAATGTCATAATTGAGTCATATTTATTACATGCTCAGTCATGATTATGAGATAAAGGTCAAAATTGACTTGTATAGAAAATCCAAACTATGAAAAAAAAGTCAAAATTATGATAAAATGTCATAATTATGATACTTTTTTAACTTTTTTTCTTGTCAAAATTGACAAAAACAATAATTACATCAAAAATCGAAAGTGACAGTCATAATTATGATTGATATTATGATTTTTTTTGTCACTTTCGACTTTTGAGGTCATTGTTTTATCACAATTCATAGTCATAATTATGACTCTTAATCTCAATTTCCACAGTTTATCATATAATTATAACAGAGATATCACCTGTAAAGATCAAACAAACGGAGTGTGTTCAGATGGAAGTTGTGATCACTGCCTTGGCTTAAGTAACCGAATGCCTTCATTTTCGCCATTGTTTCAGATCCTATGAAGGCAAATTCACACTGTCTTTATTTCACCTCTTGACTTACACACACAGTGCTGGTACAACAGACCTCAATCTTTGATGCATTATGGGATATGAAAGACTCGTGTACAGATGTAATGTCACTAAAGCGGGACCGGATGAACTGGCAGCAGACAGTTGTCGTCATATCATGATGTTACCAGTTAGAATCGCAGTTCTCGTTCTGTTTTCAGTATTTCTTATGAATGATCTATTATAATGTGTATTTATTGTGCGTTACTTAAACGGTATGTATTGAATAAAAATTCTCTTTGTTAAAGCGCTCCTTGTTGGGTCATAAATCTCTAAGTGGGAAAAAGTCTGATTCAGAACTTGACAAACCCTTGCCTCAAAAAGTCGTCATGAGTTCAGACAGACAGATGGATGGATGGATGGATGGATGGATGGATGGGTGGAGGGATGAACAGATGGAGGGATTGGATGGATGGAAAGACTGGGTGGAAGGATGGAATGGATGGAAAGAATGACTGGATGGAAGGACTGAATGGATGGATGGATGGATGGATGGATGGATGGATGGATGGATGGATTGAAGGAATGGATGGATGGACTGAATGAATAGATAGATAGATAGATAGATAGATAGATAGATAGATAGATAGATAGATAGATAGATAGATAGATAGATAGATAGATAGATAGATAGATAGATAGATAGATAGATAGATAGATAGATATGGTCAGATAGATAGATATGGTCAGATAGATAGATAGATAGACAGACAGACTAGATAGATAGATAGATAGATAGATAGATAGATAGATAGATAGATAGACAGACCAGACAGATAGACAGACAAATAGAGCGATAGATAGACAGACAAACATAGATATACAGACAGACAGACTAGATAGACAGACAGACCAGACAGATAGATAGACAAATAGACAGACAGACAGACAGACAGATAGATAGATAGATAGATAGATAGATAGATAGATAGATAGATAGATAGATAGATAGATAGATAGATAGATAGATAGATAGATAGATAGATAGATAGATAGATAGAACAGCATCAAACATATTACATTTCTCCATCTTTAATAGAGACTATTAATAACTTTTCTGTAATTTATAAACACTCTCCATTTGTCTTTACAAAATATATTCTAAAGAACATTGATCTACATCAATTCAAGGCAATATTATGGTTTATAAGCCATATTCAGCACAATGTTTCTGACTGATGTAAACATTTGATGTCATTTTTAAAAGTATCAATAGAGTTCTGAATCTGTTGTTTTGCTGTTGACAGTCTGAAGGCAGAGTAAGAGCGCCCCCTGCTGCCAGACTGTGTTCATCATTCTTATCAAATATTCAACGGAAACCTATAAAGACATACGATATTGAAATTTGGTCAAAGAAAAAAAATATATATATTCAATGGCTAAAAACAAAAACATCCCACCGAAATTCTGACAGAATCTCTGATCCCGGTCATTCCTGTTATGCAGCACATTTTTATGTCTCCATCACATGTCTTATTATACAGGATAAAATATTAAACTTCATTAAATAATTTTACTACTTATTTTTGCCATGTTTTGCTGCACTTCTACAATAGAAATATATATATTTTGCTCTAAGATTTTAAACAAAACAAAAATTATTTTGTTTCATTTTGGTGATAAATGGATTTTAATGTCAATCCCTCACTACTTTAGCTTTTAATCTCCATCCTTGTTAATGTTCTTCCCACTGTTAATAATCACAATAATCAAATTAAAATGAATACACTTGAAGTGTCTGACTTTGACCTGAACATATTCCTGAAAGCCTGCTAAACCCTTTTATAGAAATACTCCCTAAAATTACAACACAGCAATAGTCGGTTTTCAAAAGGTGCTGCAGAACAGGAACAACCAGGAATGTGTAAGGAAAAAATAAAACCACAGTTAAAAAAGGGAATTTGGAGAAAATACTTTGAAAAGTCTTTGGTGCTGTGAAATCTGCTTGCATAATATTATCTGAAGAATATTAAGGCCTCTGCTCTTGATAGACGTCCATAATCTGCATTTCACATTCAAAAAATGCAGCTGATATCGAGCATCACTGTGCTTGAGCTTTTCCGGTAAAACATTTTTGTAGAAAAGCAACTGCGCAAGGAAACATGTCCTGTAGTCTTTCAGACGCAATGGAATGAAATATGACAGATAATAAAACTTCACTGTACATTTTTGCGTGCCCACCCAGAAGGTGTCTTGGCCCCAATAGAAGAGAAGGTCCTCACTGCAGAACACGAAATCCAGGGGGAGGAGTTGGATCCAGATCCAACTCCTCCCATCTTACATATAAACCTACCTATCTACGCCCCCTGAACCTTAACCCCACCCCTAATCCTACCCATCTCCACCCCCTGATCCCTAACCCCACCCCTAATCCTACCCATCTCCACCCCCTGATCCCTAACCCCACCCCTAATACTACCCATCTCCACCCCCTGATCCCTAACCCCACCCCTAATACTACCCATCTCCACCCCCTGATCCCTAACCCCACCCCTAATCCTACCCATCTCCACCCCCTGATCCCTAACCCCACCCCTAATACTACCCATCTCCACCCCCTGATTCCTAACCCCACCCCCAATACTACCCATCTCCACCCCCTGATCCCTAACCCCACCCCTAATACTACCCATCTCCACCCCCTGATCCCTAACCCTACCCATCTCTGCCTGCCATGTTCCCTAACCCCACCCCTAATCCTACCCATCTGGATCCAACTCCGCCCCCTGATCCCTAACCCCACCCCTAATCCTACCCATCTGGATCTAACTCCGCCCCCTGGATCTCGTGTACTGCAATGATGTGCTACTGCTATAGACTGGAATGTCTGTGAATGCTATGTTTTTGGTCCAATAGATATTACAACAGCAATATTTTCCGCATACAAAAATAAATTAATTTTTTTCTCTGTGTGTGTGTGTGTCAGTGGTTCCGCCATTCAAGTGAAGACCCAGAGCTGGTGTTTATCGGCTGGATTGCAGGGCACTAGAGAGGGGTTCTCTTGACGAATGCCCAGGCACTGTTTCGAGCCCTTGTTATAGAACAGCTGATCCTGCAAAGGGAATAAAATAACACAGTCGGATATATCACTACTGTCCCGCCAAATCACAAAACCAAACATTAGCAGGCTTAAATTAGCATTAGACAGGAAGCCATGCACTTAAACTAAGCTCTTGGCTCTTGTTGTCTTTATTCTTGAATGTATAATTTGGGTTTTTTCCTGCTCAGAAATTTTATTTTAATTTTGCACAGGTGAGATGCATTTGTAGGCAGTATTTTAAAGGGTTAGTTCACCCAAAATTAATCTTCAGAACACAGTTTAGATATTTTAGATTTAGCCCGAGAGGTTTCTGTCCCTCCATTGAACATGTGTGTACGGTATACTGTCCTTGTCCAGAAAGGAAATAAAGACATCATCAAAGTAGTTGATGGATGGATGGATGGATTCTATAGATAGATGGATGGATGGATACTATGGATGGATACTATAGATAGATGGGTGGATGGATGGATGGTTGCATACTATAGATAGATGGATGGATTCTATAGATAGATGTATGGATACTATGGATGGATACTATAGATAGATGGGTGGATGGATAATATAGATGGATGGATAGATAGATACTATATAGATGGATGGATGGATGGATCCTATAGATAGATGGATGGATGGATACTATGGATGGATACTATAGATAGATGGGTGGATGGATGGATAGATGGATGGATACTATAGATAGATGGATGGATGGATAATATAGATGGATGGATGGATGGATACTATATGGATACTATAATGGGTGGATGAATGGATAGATGGATGGATACTATAGATAGATGGATGGATGGATAATATAGATGGATGATGGATATATACTATGAATGATACTATATAGATGGATGGATGGATGGATGGATACTATAGATAGATAGATGGATGGATGAATGGATGGATACTATGGATAGATAGATGATTTATGTTGACTATGAATAGATGGATGATGGATGGATGGACGGATACTATAAATAGATGGATGGATGAATGGATGGATACTATAGATGGATGGATGTATGGATACAATGGATGGATGGGCACTGTAGATAGATGGATGGATGGATGGATGGATGGATGGATACTATGGATAGATAGATGATTTATGTAGACTATGAATAGATGGATGATGGATGGATTGATGGATACTATAGATAGATGGATGGATGGATACTATGGATGGATACTATAGATGGATGGATGGATACTATGGATGAATACTATATGGATGGATGGATACTACAGATGGATAGATGATTTATGGATACTATAAATAGATGGATGATGGATGGATGGATGGGTACTATACTGTAGATGGATGGATGGATGGATGGATACTATAGATAGATGGATGGATGGATACTATGGATGGATGGATGGATACTATAGATAGATGGATGGATAGATGATTTATGGATACTATAAATAGATGGATGATGGATGGATGGATGGATGGGGACTATACTGTAGATGTATGGATGGATGGATGGATACTATAGATGGATACTATAGATGGATGGATATTATAGATGGATGGATGATCCTATAGATAGATGGATGGATACTATAGATGGGTGGATGATGGATGGATACTACGGATGGATACTATAGATTGATGAATACGATGGATGAATGGATGGATACTATAGATAAATGGATGGATGGATACTATGGATGAATACTATATGGATGGATGGATGGATGGATGGATGGATGGATGGATGGATACTAAGGATGGATATTATAGATGGATGGATGGATACTATGGATGAATACTATATGGATGGATGGATACTATAGCTGGATTGATACTATGGATGGATGGATACTATAGATAGATGGATGGATGGATACTATAGATAGATGGATGGATAGATGATTTATGGATACTATAAATAGATGGATGATGGGTGGATGGATGGGTACTATACTGTAGATGGATGGATGGATGGATGGATGGATGGATGGATACTATAGATGGATGGATGATCCTATAGATAGATGGATGGATACTATAGATGGGTGGATGATGGATGGATGGATACTACGGATGGATACTATAGATGGATGAATACGATGGATGAATGGATGGATACTATAGATAAATGGATGGATGGATACTATGGATGAATACTATATGGATGGATGGATACTATAGATGGATTGATACTATGGATGGATGGATACTATAGATAGATAGATGGATGGATGGATGGATGGATATATACTGTAGATAGACAGTAGACGGTACTGTAGACGGGCGGTTGTGGAGTCGAAGATCAGCGGCGTGTGAAGAAGAGAGAACGAGTGTGTGAGAAAGCGTGTTGTTTTACCTCTCTGAGCTCCCATCTCTGCTGAGGTCCAGTGACGGTGCCGTGACCTTTATACTGGCACTCCTCTAGTTTGACGACTCCATCCGTCCCGTGCAAACAGAGCTCCTTCTGAATGTTGTGCCTGATCTCATGATGGGTCGAGTACTCAAAATACTGTGTGATCAGAGGAGAGAAATGACCTTCACCATCCAGAAAACATTTCATTAAACAGATAAAGATGTTTGCCTGGAAACTCCTGAGAGCTTCTGGAACACATTTCAAGGGAACTAATTAAAATGATATTTGCGATGCACCCAGAACAAATCTCTCCCAAATATCATTCGTGCTTGTGTTCAGAATCAGTGACGCACAAGTTTTGATGACCGATTGGCTAATGACATTTGAGATCTCATTTTGAGTGAATAACAGCATAAATGTTGGTCTGTTCATCACAAAACACCATCGCATGACTTCAGAACTTGGAATATAGTATGTGAATTATATACACTGTAGGGTTAGGGTCTTTAAATAATTTTTAAATAAAAATATTTTTTTATTTGAAGTAACTGTAAAATACCATACAAATAGTGTATAATAAAATTTTAAATTTAAAAATTTAAATTATTATACACTCTTAGAAGAAATGGTTCTATTTAGAACCAGAAACGGTTCCATCCATCCCCCGCTTCATATATGGAACTCCAAAATGGTTCTATATAGAACCATTTTTTTGGTAAAAGGTTCTATTGGCCAAGTACGGAACCCCAGGGTTCTATATAGAACCCAGAGGAACCCTTTTTTAAGAGTGTATAGAACCTTTTAGTGGTTCCAAATACGTAGCGCTGATAGAACCTTTTAAGGTTCTATATAGAACCTTTTCTTCTAAGAGTGTAATATATACTAATATATAATAAAGAAAAGAACTGTCTCCTGACTTCAATTATTGTAATTATATTGTCCCAGATTTCTAATAACGAATGGGTTTAGCCTATATGTGGTTTTGTCTATTCACTTGAATTATTTCCAGGACACACTGCTCCTGCTCCGATCACCTGGTTTCCTCCCATCCCGTGGCAGGGGTACATGATGAGAGGTTTCCCTCCTTCATTGCTCTCTCCCGCGTCCAGACAGGCCTCCTTCCCCACGTTCTTTATCTGGAGGGAGAAGGAGGAAATGGAACGGATTGTGGTGTCGTAACATGAAAGCTGTTAAAACAAGGTTTTACAGAACGGCTTTCTCTGAGATCCGCTGCATGGTGGGAAACCACAGACACAACACCAGAGAGGGAGATGAATAAAGAGAGCGACACACACACACACTCACTCACCGCGCCAAACTGCAGCGGATTGAGATCAGGCATGAAGACCTCCGGATAGACGTTCTTCAAATACCAGGAAAAGCTCTTACACTGGAGCTTTTCTCTGAGATCTACACGCTTGGAGACGTCTCCAAAAGACCGCTGTAGAGAGAGAGAGAGAGAGAGAGAGAGAGAGAGATGGTAGCTTCATTAGAGAAAGTGTCTGTCTCATATTAAAGCTGTCTGAGGCTCCACTTTAAAGCTGTGTGTCTACGGTTATGGACCAGCGTCAGGTCTTGGCACACACTGGGAATGTTGAGGGATTTCTGTGGTGTAGTTCGCAGAGGACCAGCACAATGAAAGCCTGGCGAAAGGCCTTTGGTCTTATAACTCCAAACTAATGCAGGAAATCCACCCTAACACACGTAGGGTGGCAGTTTTATTATTTAGGTAAATAAAATAAAGGTATTTAAAAAAAATATTCAAATATAATCAATTATGAAATAAATTAATTTAATTTAATTCAAATTAAATAAAAAACATTTGTAATAATTCAATTTATTAAAAATAATGCTATTGATTATTTTATACAAATAAAATGATACGAATCTTTTTCCGAGTCATTAGGTTCATTCAACGAACGAAACGAACGAATTGACTTGGGAAAAGATTTGTTCATTTTGATGAACGAGTTCGAACAGGAGAGTCACTGTGCTTATAGCAGGCGAGCATTTGTGCTTATAAAACTTAAACTTTGTTATTTATTTATTAAATGACCGCTCGTTTCGCTTGATAAGACCCTTATTCATCGTCTGGAATCGTTTAAAGCCCTTTGAAAAGTTTGCAGTTTGCACTAAAAGTGTCTTTTGGACCTTGAACCGTTTGGTTCCCAATAAAGTGCATTATGAGGAGAAAAATCCTGGAATGTTTTCATCAAAAACCTTAATTTCTTTTCGACTGAAGAAAGAAAGACATGGACATCTTGGATGACATGGGGGTGAGTAAATTATCACCAAACGTTTTTTTTCAAAAGTGAACAACTCCTTTTAGGCAAAAGTGTGGAGTGTCCCTTTAAAAACTTTTCCATAAAGACTATATATTATAGGAAATTGCCTGTTAGTACTTATGAAGCACATTTTCTACATCCCTTAATCCTACCCAGTACCTAAAATTAACTAAAATACTAACTATTAATAAGCAGTAATTATATTTATTATTCTATTATTAATAAAACATACAGTATATTAGCCTTTATTTTATAGGTCAGTTGGGAAAAACTGAAGAGGGGGAATCGGACTGGGAGAGCTCTTCAAATATTGGGAACCTTGCTAAATGTCTTATTGGAACTGGTACAGTAATGAGGGACTGGGAATGTTGGGAGTTGTACCTCTTTGGCGATTTGAGCGGCCTGCTGGTTCCTCCGGTAGAAGATCTCTTTAAAGTCATCCATCCAGACCTCAGCCAGACGCACCTGGTTGCGAGCGATCACCTGCGTGCCTTTGGGGAAGGTGTGCGGACTCTTAGTGCGAAACACGTGCCCAACGACTGAACAGGGGATGATCTCCAGCTGCCCGCCGCACTGCCACACCTGAAGGACGAGAGCAGGGTCAACACTAGACAGGCTTCCTACAGGTTTCTTCAAGTCTTTTTAAGACCATTTATATAGAATGTACTTAAAATAAATGCCACAAGAAAGTTTGCCGAACAATGTCAAGTTACTTATTGGGAACTGAGAAAATGGGGAACTGAGAGACTCCTGAACAATAAACATCGAAAATCATAATAATCGTGAAACTTTTGAGGAAATACACAATACGGAGAAGTTACATATCATACAGCACAATTTTGAAGACCCAGACATCAAAATTTAAAAGTCTTTTGAAGGTATTATTTCCAAATTAGTCAAATTCAACGCTTTCAAGGCTTTTTAAGACCCGGCGGGAACCCTGCTAGAGGAAAAGGAAGAGCTGTATTTATCCAATACACACACATTTTTACATTTTATACACAGATTTTTATATAAAGACAGTGCCATTTAACTAGTTTCCCAATCCTTGCTTTTCTAGAGTCACTGATATAAACTTTTAAAGCAGAAATGTCATTAGAGTTGGACTGATTTCTGAATTGATTCAAAATTCTGACTCAATGATTCATTTGCATCACTATGTTCACAAAAGTAAGTTAGTTACATACACACATATTTTACTTAGTTTAACAGTTAATGTGGTAATTTCTCAAATAACTAAAGACTTTTAGACTTTAATAACTAAAGACCGAGCAATTAACGGACAAAACTTTGATCCATTACATTGCAAATGCAGAAATCAGTCTTGCATCATTCAAGGTTGACAATCAATATACACTGCCATTCAAAAGGTTGAGGTATTTTGCTCTCCAAGGCTGCATTCACTTGATAAAACAACAGTAAAAGCTGTAACATTATGAAAATGTCTTATTATTATGGATGTTGAAAACAGTTGTGCTGCTTGATAGCATCAAAGTTTAAAAGAGCAGAGTTTATTTGAATCTTTTGTAACATTGTAAATGTCTTTACGGTCACATTTTAACAATTAAATGTGATCTTTCTGAATAAAACTATTCATTTTGTAACTTTTGAACGGTTGTGTGTATTAAGAACGACCTAAAGATGTTCATAAACAAGGACTGTTGACTCACCCTGAAGGACATTTCAATATTTTCTCCTCCCCAAATCTCCATCTCCTCATCATAGCTTCCTACATGGTAGAAGTAATCTCTGGAAATGGAGAATAATCCTCCTGCGAACGTTGGCGTCCTGCGAGGACAGATGAGATTACAGTGTAAATGTTTCTCTGCTTTTGAATGATTTACATTAGATAGAAAATGACTGAAATATATGTGTGTGTGTGTGTGATAAAAGCAATTAATGGAAAACAAACAATTCGCTCTATCAGTAAAAGCATTTAAGGAATAGTCATGTTGTTTCAAACCTTTTTATTTTCCACTGAACATAAAAGAAAACATGTATTGTAACAATAAAAAAAAATGTATTGTAATACTTCCCAATATTATTGTTTTACAGTATTTTTGATCAAATTAATGCAGCCTTGGTGAGAATAAGAGATTTCTTATATATATATATATATATATATATATATATATATATAAAACATCACCAACATTAGTTTTATGGCTTAGGAAAGACAAAGAAATTGTCATTTTTGGGTGAACATTTCCTTTACTGTAGGGGGGTAATGGTTCAGATTACTCACGGTTTGGTTTGTATCATGGTTTTAGGGTCACGGTTTTGGTACGGTTAGTATGTGCTATGTTCAGTAAAGAAAATAAGAACAAATATTCAAGCTATAAGCAACAGCACAAATAAATACAATAGAGCAAATGATACAAATAAAATAAACAGTGCTTTTCAGGCAACCGTAGTTTTCAAGTAAATTGAATAAAGTAATCAAATGTAAAACCACTGCATATAATCTCCACTGTAAAAATTAAATAAAGATTTTTTTTATTATTATTGTTGTTTATTTTTTGTTGATTCTTGGTGTTTATGTTTTTGTATTTCTTGTATGTGAAGGGGAATGTTGTTTGTTTTTATTTCATGTTCAAAATTTAATAAAGAGATTGATGGAAATTAAATAAAGATTTATCATTATTAAGGTTACAAAAGCAATTCAGTCGAGAGCAGTGCCTTTTGTTGTTTGATTAACATCAAATCACAAACAGCAGGAATATTAGGCTGCCGTCACTTTAAGAAAATGCATGGAATAATGCAGGACACATGCGTTATTTCTCGACTGTTCACGCTCACTTAAGACATAACCTATATGTTTGCTAGGATACTCGCCAAGATGGGCATGATGACATAAGAGAACTCAGTATTTGCGAGCTTTACATGTGCACGCATGCGTATCCGTCGACAGAAACATACATTAACTCCGTTTGTTTATTTTATGTGTTGTTATTTTCTACAAAATATTTTATAGATGCGTATGCGAGGTCAGATTTGAGATGCTTTTATTATTGAGAACCGTTACACCCCTACTTTATTGTAAAGCTGAGCGTTTCCTTACTTAATTGGGTATGTCTCATCTTTGCGCCTCTGTTTCTCATGATCTGGAAGGGTTTCCCAGCCAAAGGACAGGCCCCAGTCGAAATTCCCCCGGTTATGGTGCTGTCCGTACGGTGAGGGTTTCATGAACTCAAATGTGTTCAGGTCAATGGTGGTGATGTCAGGACTGACTACGGCAGTGGAGTTCTCCGCTATCCTGGCCAGCAGCGGCTCAAGCCATCCGTGGAAACATTCACCTGAACAAATGAAGCATTATAAAGCTGAGGCATCTTCAGAAGTCTGAGAAATCAAAGAGGGCCTAGTATGCTTTTTAAAATTGAATCTTTCTTTAGTTTCTAATGTTGCTGTTTGAGCGTCAAAAAGGTCTATGAAGTTACAAAGTCCATATTATATCAGTGTCACTGTTTCTGAAGTCCCTGAAATGCCTCCATCGTAGTTTTGAGTTTTAATTCGTAGTTTTGAGTTTAAATAGGGCCTGGTATAAGTTTAGACGCACTAAACACACTGCTGACTGGGAAGAATATAAACGATTAAGAAACAATTGTACCATGCAAACAAGAAACTCCAAATCTAGTTACTTCAGAAATTGTTTATCGAATGATTTCAAAAACCCACAACGATTCTGGAAACAGGTTAATAATGTACTTGGGAAATCGGGGCGGACTACAACCACTTTGAATTTGAATGATGAAAGGATAGATGATCCAGTATCCATTGCAAATGCCTTTAGTTTACATTTTTCTTCAGCGCCACAAGTTCAGAGCCATACTTTTAAACCAGATCTGGCTCCTTGTTCCCTTACAGGTAGTTCTTTTTCATTTGCAGAGATCAGCCCAGCAGATGTGCAAAAGGCTATAAGTGAACTGTCATCTACCAGTGGAGCTGGACTAGATGGCATTGAGAACAAGTTTATTAAAATGGGCTCTCATGTATTAGCAGCTCCATTGGCCTTACTTTTTAATCTATCGTTTTCTTCTAGTACGGTTCCTTTAGCCTGGAAATGCGCAAAAGTTATTCCACTTCATAAAGGTGGCGAGTCTGATAATATTAATAACTACAGACCAATTTCAATCATAAACAGTGTTGTAAAAGTTTTTGAGAAAATGATTTTTACCCAATTATCGAATTATTTAGCTAATAATGATTTATTATCTCAATGCCAATCTGGATTCAGAAAACATTTTTCTACCACTACAGCCCTTCTTAAATTTACTAATGATGTGTTCTTGAGTTTTGATAATCGTATGTGTACAGGTGCGTTGTTTCTAGATCTTACTAAAGCTTTTGACTTAGTGGATCATTATTTACTTTTAGACAAATTGTACTCTTTTGGTTTGTCTACCTCTTCCTTGCTTTGGTTTAATTCTTATTTACATAATCGTCGCCAGTGTGTGTCCTTTGGGGGCAGTTTGTCTCAGTTCACAGTCATTGATAGAGGAATTCCTCAAGGCTCCTCTTTGGGGCCTTTATTATTTTCAATATTTATCAATGATCTTCCGCGTAGCTGTACTGGATGCAATATTCAGCTTTATGCTGATGACACAGTCATTTATTGTTCTAAATCTAATATATGTGACATCAGCACTACATTACAAAATGGTTTTGATTCAGTTCAGAGGTGGCTATTGTCTAATAAGCTTCTACTTAACAAATCAAAATCATTTTCAATGCTTTTTAAAATGAAACAGAATTCTTTAGAAAACTCACTAAATATTTTATTTTTGGATAAAACTCCTATAAAACATACTAGCCAGGTTAAGTATCTTGGCCTGTGGCTTGACTCTGATCTTTCTTTCAGCACTCATGTGCATAATATAACTAATAAGCTCAACTGCTCACTTAGAATTCTATACCAATCAATTAACTGTTTTAATTATCATGTCAGAAAAAGAATCGTTTCTCAACTTCTATTGCCAATCTTGGATTATGCTGACATTGTATATCAAAACACTACTGCCTCTTGTCTTCAGTCCCTTAATATAGTTTACAATAGCCTATGTAGATTTATACTCCGCTGCCCCTACAGAACACACCATTGTGAAATGTACCATCAATTGTCCTGGCTGACCTTATCAAATAGAAGGTGTTTTCATTGGTTACAGTTTGTTTTTAAATGCATTTATATGAATTACCCTGCTTATTTAAAACAATATTTAACTCCATTTAGGTCATCTCATAATTTGCGTCATAATAATCAAATTTATTTTTACACTCCACAGATCAATAAAGAAATAGGAAGATATGCATTTCAATATAAAGCACCATATGATTGGAATAAACTTCCAATTTCAATTCGCTTTTTAACTTCTTTTCCAATATTTAAAAGTCATTTAGCTCAACATCTCCAGAATACATGCAATTGCTTTTGATTAGCATTATTTTATTTTATTATATTTATTTCTCACTGTAACTTTTTTTTTTTTTTTTTCTCTTGGCATGGTACATATATAGTTTTTGTCTGTATTTTGATGTTGTCTTGGTACAAATGAAATGATATGGTTTACTCTGTTTAGGGAGGAGTGTGTCACCTTTTGGGAGTCTTGCATGAATGATTGTCTTGTTTTGTTTTGGTTTATATATTTAGCTGTATAGCACTACTGCATAGCATTTTTTTGTTTTTTGTTTTTTTTTGTGTTTTTTTTTTGTTTGTTTTTCTTGTGTATTTGTTTTTTGTTTTTGTTTTTTGGCTTTTTGCTATTTGTTATGTTAAATTCAAGCTGCTGTAAGGTCAGTTTTTTTGTTTTATTTGAATCTAGAATCGAGGACCCCCTCGAAAACGAGATGGCTCATCTCAAGGGGCTATTCCTCTTTAATAAAAAATGTCAAATTCTGGGAATATTCCTCATTTAAATAATTCCCGGCACAGGCATGCACAGAATAAAGGGGCGGAGCCTTGTTGAGGAAGTTAGTAGTGTGTTGAAACTTGCAGTTATGGTAAGTCAAGTTATGTATATGTATACAGCACTTTTCACAATATAGATTGCATCAAAGCAGCTTTACAGTATCAATCAAAACATAATAAAAATATTTGTTTCTTAGTAAAAAAAATATCCATGTTTAGTAGAGCTGATCAACGGTATTGGTGATGAATTGGATAATTAATTTGAATATCCCCAACTGAGCAAGCCAAAGGCAACAGTGGCAAGGAACCGAAAAACTCCATCAAGTGACCTAATGGTGTCCTAAAACTCCATCAGATGACCCAATGGTGTCCTAAAACTCCATCAGATGACCCAATGGTGTCCTAAAACTCCATCAGATGACCCAATGGTGTCCTAAAACTCCATCAGGTGACCCAATGGTGTCCTAAAACTCCATCAGATGACCCAATGGTGTCCTAAAACTCCATCAGGTGACCCAGTGGTGTCCTAAAACTCCATCAGGTGACCCAATGGTGTCCTAAAACTCCATCAGATGACCCAATGGTGTCCTAAAACTCCATCAGGTGACCCAGTGATGTCCTAAAACTCAATCAGGTGACCCAGTGGTGTCCCAGTGGTGACCCAACTGAGCAAGTCAAAGGCAATAGTGGCAAGGAACCGAAAAACTCCATCAAGTGACCTAATGGTGTCCTAAAACTCCATCAGGTGACCCAGTGGTGTCCTAAAACTCAATCAGGTGACCCAATGGTGTCCTAAAACTCCATCAGATGACCCAATGGTGTCCTAAAACTCCATCAGGTGACCCAATGGTGTCCTAAAACTCCATCAGATGACCCAGTGGTGTCCTAAAACTCAATCAGGTGACCCAATGGTGTCCTAAAACTCCATGAGGTGACCCAATGGTGTCCTAAAACTCCATCAGATGACCCAGTGGTGTCCTAAAACTCCATCAGGTGACCTAATGGTGTCCTAAAACTCCATCAGGTGACCCAGTGGTGTCCTAAAACTCAATCAGGTGACCCAATGCTGTCCTAAAACTCCATCAGGTGACCCAATGCTGTCCTAAAACTCCATCAGGTGACCCAGTGGCGGGACAATTCAGAAACACACTGAAGCGTTGGACCAATCACAACACACTGGTTCAGCCAACCAATCAGAGCACATTGTGCTTTTGAGAAGGAGGGGCTTTGTGGAGACAGGAACTAAACAGAGCGTTACTGACAGACCGGGAAGAGAGGTGCTGCAACAACTTTAAATGTGGGGAAAATAATGTGTTTTTTGAACATTCAAGCATGAAATGTTTCTAGTAGAGCCCAAAAATAAAGATCAAGGCTTTGGGCAAATTATGGCCTCTATGCAAACTTGCATAGAGTGCTTTCAAATCCTTAGGCTAAACCATCCCCTCTTATTCTCATTAACTTGAACGTATTTGCTTGCAACTCTCAGATGAATAAACACAGCCGATATGAATAAATAAGACTGTGTTCTAAATCAATCTGAGCAAATTGCTGCATTCTGCCTGATTGTTTCCCAGCCAGCCACACCAGCGGAGGACGTAAACACGGCCTTTATAACATCATGAATGTTTAACAAGCCTAAACTCAAACGGAATTAAAAAGCGTCAGATTCTTTCCAGCTCTAACTGACCACAGGCTTATAAAGAGCATGTTTTTATTAGGAGACGAACCCTATTAATGTGAATCCAGCAACTTGAGTGGGAGTGATTTACTCTTTAAAATGGCAAGTCGCTCATATAACTTTCACGATTTCACGTGCCAGAGTTTGTCTACTCACAGTGGGCATCCAGGAAGGTGAGAGTGTCCCCTGTGGACACGGAGGCCCCGAGGAGCCGGGCAGTGATCAGGCCTTTTCGCTCACGCTGGCGGACCACGCGCACGATGTGGAGCTGTTTCAGATACTCGTCCAGTTCGTCCTTTAGTCGCTCTGTGAGAAACAGAAAAGTCCAAACAATTTTACAATCAATTGTTAAACTTCTTTACGCAAAATTCAAAGAGAAAGGGAATCCCAGAATGCATTGCAACAAGCTCAGTGCAAAATGCATCCAGATGGAAGATGAATTTAATATTCTGTGGCCGCTAAGATTTTTTTTTTTAAGAAAAGAATATTGTTATTCAGCCAGGATGTGTTAAATTGATCAAAATTGACAGTAAAGACATTTATGTTACAAAATATTTTTTTTTATTTCAAATAAAAGCTGTTCTTTTAACCGTCAAAGAATCCTGAAAAAAGTGTCAGTTTCCTAAAAAATATAAAGCAGCTGTTGATAATAAGAGTTTCTTCTTGAATGATGGTGAAAATTCAGCTTTGCATCACAGGAATAAATTACATTTTAATATAAAATCATATTAAAAACAGTTATTTTGAATTGCAATAATATTACCGCTTTTTTATGTATTTTTAATGTCTTGGTGAGCATAAAACACTGCCGACAAAAAAAAAAAATCTTACCAAATCCAAACTTCTAAACGCTAGTGTATATTTAATATGTGTGCGAGCACTACAATAATGCTTATTACTAAAATACCAAGCATATGTAGAACAAAAAAGCATGTGTCTTCAGTTTGGATGCTTCCTATGTAGTCAGCATGAGGTAGATTATAGAGCAAAGCTGTTCACTAGTTTTTGGAGCAGATTTGAGAGTCGTTTTATTTATATCATGTCAGTCTGTGCTCTTTTAACTTCTAAATGTTACTGTATGGTTAAAAATGTCTAACATGTTGCCTTCAAACCGATTCAGTATACAGGGACAGGGCAGATATAATAATACCTTTTTACCAAAAGAGCAGGACAAAGCACAAGCAGTGCCTTTAATCTAGTAGATATGGGTGTGTACATATTCATTAGGCATAAATATCTCCTTTCATGAGTCTGCAGCCCTCAGGGTTACATCACTGACCAGCACTTTGGCATAATATTATATATTATACAGAACTAGCTAAAAATAGTGATGGACACAGTGACGTCAAACAGAAGTGCATCACAACTACACTCTTAGAAGAAATGGTTCTATTTAGAACCAGAAATGGTTCCATCCCCCACTTCATATATGGAACTCCAAAATGGTTCTATATAGAACCATTTTTTTTTTTGGTAAAGGTTCTATTGGCCAAGTATGGAACCCCAGGGTTCTATATAGAACCCAGAGGAACCCTTTTTTAAAGAGTGTATAGAACCTTTTAGAGGTTCCAAATACATAGCGCTGATAGAACCTTTTAAGGTTCTATATAGAACCTTTTCTTCTAAGAGTGTAGCAGAAATCAGACCAAACGGCACGCCACCTTTTCGCATTTCTTTTTTGTGAAAAACCCAACCATTGCAACAGATCAGTCGTAGTCTTTTTCAACACCTTAGTCTTTTTTATTCTCTGCTTGACCATTTTAACTACTTTAAATTATGAGTTTCTTGGGAAGCTGCAGTTTAAGAGTAGCTTTCCCAACACAGACATTATGATTTATGATATCAAATAATGTGTATTATCCTCTTCAGAATCATTTAAGAGTAAAGGTGTAAAACACAAGCCTGCTGAAATGATTCACAGCAGCGCTGCGGGACGTCCTATAGGTTTTGGCTGCCTCTGAGGGCGGGGGTCAACACACAGAAGACTGGTCTTTCTCAGCGGAAGCTGGAACTGCTTGAGAAGGAGAGACGGAGGGTGTAATTAAAAGAAGAGGGAGCGTAAAAGAATAGCTGAAAGCCAATTCCCTGGCTTTGATTCCTCACGTTGGCGGGCTGCCAAGAGAGAAAGTTCAGTCCCTGCGGGACTCAACCGGGGCAACGGAAAGGTGCTTATACTAGTGCAGTTCTTCTCAACCAAAAAAACGCATAGGTTTATTTTGATCTGTTCAGTAGGGTAAAACTGATGCAAAATTCAAATAACCAAACGCAACTAATTATATAGACTATCAATAGTCTGGGGTTAGTATGATTTTTTTTTTAAAGAAACCAATACTTTTATTTAGCAAGGATGCAATAAATTGACCAAAAAAGTTAGCCTGGCTAACGCCAGACCACGTATCATTGAGAATGAGACTTGGTCTGGAAACCACGTTCATTTTCTCGTATTTGAGGCGTGGTTTACGAATGCCCAGAGCCGTATTATAGACCTTATTCAGAGCAGCGCCATGACAGGTATGAAAGTGAGGCTGTGAGGGATAGACTTACCATGTTTCCAATGTCATCCGCTGTAAAAAGCTGAATAAAGCGGCTAGATTACTTACAATTTTCCACAGCTTACATTGTCGGGAGTTTTTTGTCAACTGACATTTCTTTGAAAGATATTTTTCCAGTGTTTCATGAGCAGAACAATCCGAAAACACATTAAATAACAGTACAGCCCATTGAAGAGATGCAAGTCTATCCCTCACAGCCTCGCTTTCATTCTCATTAAAAATCAAAGATGGCGCTGCCGTGAATAAGGCGTATTGAGTGCTACGAATGTCTATCAAATGCGCCTGTACGTAGCTCATAGCCAATCGGTTCAGTGATACCAGATGACATATGTAGAGCGACAGAAAATAGAGTGCCGAAGTTACGACGTCACTCTGTAGGCCAAAACGCGGAAGTGAGTTAGCATTTTAGCACTACCGGTTCCCTCACTCTAAAGCCAATGGGATTTTTGAATGGGTTTTTGCTAAGCCTCTAAATATTTTCACGTTTTGATCTATGACATAAAACACACATTTATAACCTGCTTGTGGTTTTTTAAACTTTATTGTGTCTGCTTGTGTTTTTAAAAAACTTTATATAGACATCAAAATGTATAAATTTTGGATTAACTTGTGAAGATTTTCTTGATAGTCAAAACGTGTAAGGGTCACAACTCTTTGCTAAACACAGATCTTATTTTTTGCGATTTTCCAAAAGTATATGGGGAAAATGCATAGCTTTTCGATCGAGCGAACCCATGCGCCGCTAGCTTCCGAGTTGTCCTACAAAGTGACGTCATCACTTCGGCACTCTATTAGACGAGGAAGAAGACGATGGATCAGAGATTTAGGAGATTTATGTATACGCAAAGGCTGCATCGAAAGGTAACTTCGCGTCCGCTGCTAAGATGGATCCATTGATATAAACAAACTGCTTCGGTGTGTCGCATGTACGTTGTCATCAAAACGAACAGTATTTATATTGTTTCAACTCTTGTAAGCACAGCCACGTCCAAGTGATCTGAGGGCGAGGGCGCTTTGCGGTAAATATTATATAAATACTGTTCGTTTTCTCTCACAAACCGCTCGTTTCGTGTCTTAGGCCATCAATGTGTACTTACACTTACGAGTCATTAAATCATGTTTAATTTGGACTTCTCTGTGCATGCTCTTTGAGGTGGTGACCATAGACCTCCATTATATGATTGACAGAGAAGAACGGTTTGACCTAAAAATATCAAAATTTAAAATACTGTGAAAACAAAGACACTTGCATCTTGGATGCCCTTGAGGTAAGCTAAAACATACCAAAAATTAATTTCAAAGTGAACTATCCCTTTAAGGTAAAAAAAAAATTTTACTTAGTGTTGCTTTAAACCAGTCGCTCTAACGCTAATTTTCCTATTTGCATTTGTTCCTTCTGGTCCGCCTGTCACAGATCTGGTTTTTAAGAGTCCACCGATACCCCCCTATACCTCACTGATGGAGCAAAACCCCTCAGAGGACATTCCCAAACAGCTCTGCTTCCCGCAGTAACAAGCGGCCAGGTGTCAGCCGGCCTACACGATTTCTGTGAAACGGGTTGCTTGAGTGAAACCGGACGCCCATTAAAACACATGATGTCTCGAGGGACTACAGGCTTGAGGTGAGTTACCGTCAACGCTGGCGTCATCCACGAGGATGATCTCTTTGAGGAGTAGAGCCGGAGAGGTGTGCAGGACGCTGTAGACGGTGCGCAGTAACGTACTCCACGCTTCATTGTGGAACACGATGATCACGCTTGTGGTCGGCAGGGGCGGACAGCGCCTGAACGTCTGCTCGATGCATCTGAGAGAGAAAAGCATGTGGCATATTAATTATATAAGGCATTTTACTCAGTAGGACAGAGTCAAGACTGAAAGGGCATCCATTTTTCTAAAGACTAAAACCTTTTCTAGAACTTAAAAACAACAAGGCTTTCTAAAATAACTAGACCTGAAATAAAAATGAATAAAACACTATACTGTCTATATATTAAAAAAAAAAAAAAAATCAAACAAATAAAAAATGACAAAAACTAAAATTTTCAAATGAACATATATATATAAATGTTCATGATTTGTAATCACAACATTTTTTCTTCTGTCAAATCAACTTAAAGAATTAATGTGGTTCAGAAAACATAATATTTTGAGTTTCTGATGAAAAAAAAATCAGATAACAATATTTTGAGTTTCTGATTGAGTTTCTGGATAAAAAAATATATATAAAAAATGTTCATGATTCGTAATCACAACATTTTTTTCTTTTGCCAAATCAACTTAAATAATTAATGTGGTTCAGATAACATAATATTTTGAGTTTATGATGATTAGATCAACCTCCTTCATTGTATTAACTCAATTTTTCCATTTCAATGAACAATTCCCTTTTAAATTTTAAGGCAACCAGGTTACTTAATTTTTTAAGTTAAACCAACAATATTTGTTTACAGTGTGGGTAATAACTAACCCTTAACCATACCTTAACCCTTATATTAACCAGTACTTTCTTAGGTAAATAAACTGTAAGTACACGTACCGTAAAAAAAGTGCAACTGATATTTCTCTACTATGTAGTTTTATATTGGTGCATATTTTAATTATTTTAATTTCTATTTTATACCAGTCCTAGTCCGGATGTTATTTTTCAGTTGACTAATTGTGTGTCTTTGTAAAACAATGAGCACCAATAGCAACTCCGGGCTTGGTTTTATGTATATCAAGGCAAGAACAAATGTCTTTAATTAGAGAAAAGCTCATCTTTGTCTCGGTCTGTAATTAGACGCAATATCTGCATAGACATGTCTGAGGAGAAAAGCTAGTCTGTAGTTTCACATGGCCACTGATTATCCAGACAGATTATATGCAAACAAACACTCTTGTATAAAGAATTTAGAAAAATGTCAAGAAACACTATGACATGAAAAATAAGTAATATTTTAGATTCTGCACTATTTGTAGGTGACTAATCAAGTAAATGATTGACACTGATCATGTGACTCGTACAAATATATTATATAAAGCAAATGTCTAAAAAAAAAAAAACTGCCACATAAAAATATGCTAGATATTAAAAAATATTTTAATTAGTATAATGCTAAATAAACGTCTCAGACTTATATGCAATTGAATTATACAATTTCGAATTTTCAAGGTGACCTTCTCATGTTATTTTTTGTTGGTTTTGGCTTCAGAAGGTGATTCAGCAAAAAAAAAAAAAAAAAAAAAAACGGATCACACTTTTGTGTTTAAATTGCACAAGGACTCTCTAAAATGTTTACTACACTAGAGTTTCAACATGAATATTTTCTAATATATTATTTATTTTAGCTGAACATTTATAATAGTAAGGATACCCACACTTTTTGACTCATGAATCTCCACTTCTACATGAATTTTCCAGGTTATGATTACTGGATGATTGTTTATAGATCTAGACTGCATTCAGGGCTTCTTTTATGAAACATGAAAAAAGTTCTGTGTAAATCAACATCCTATTCTTGCATAAATACTGGGCTGAATGTGAGAATTTATGCAAAATCAATCACATCTGTTTATCTCATGTTTCATGAATGAGTGTAATATCCAGCAGATTAAAGGGGTGGTTGATTATGGTTTCACTTTTCTAACTTTAGTTAGTGTGTAATGTTGCTGTTTGAGCATAAACAACATCTGCAAAGTTACGACGCACAAAGTTCAAAGCAAAGTCAGATATTTGCTTTCAAAGAAATCGTTGTTTAAGGACTACAACAAACAGGACATTCCTCTCGTTAGTGACATCACCAGCCCTAAAATTTACGTAAGCCCCGCCCCCGGGAAAACGCAGGCCATTTTGAGAAGGTGTCCAGTACATTTGTGAGTCAGCATGTCTTTTCACATGCAATATAGTACGTAACACAAATGCAATAGCATCTTACAGTTCCCACACGAGCGATTTTATAGATTATCCTGACAGAATATGCTAATTGAAGATAGTTAACTTCACATCAGCAACATAAATTCATCAACTAACCATTCAGAAACGTCCTGTTGCATCCTACATGTTGTAACTTCTTCAATTTCTTCAGTTTCTCTCCAGTTTAAACATAAAAGGCAGAACAGTTTCTGACATTTTAGTGTTTGTCTGCATGAGGTAATCGGAGCTGCTAACACACACGAGCTCTTGAAGCTCCGCCCACTGTGTCGGGAGCAGCAGCTCATTTGCATTTAAAGGGACACACACGGAACGACGCGTTTTTATGACCTTCAAAAATGAACAATTTGAACATGATGTAAAACATTATCTGTATGGTATTTTGAGCTTAACCTTCACATACACACTCTGGGGACAACAGAGACTTATTTTTACATATTGTATAAAGGGGAATTATAAAGTCAGTATGAAACGGAAGCTGCGATTGTCTTTTTTTCCCTATTATGACGACTTCTCTAACTAGAAAAAATAAAGGGCGGGACTTGATTTTGTCATCCGGAATTGATTGAATGGGTTGTGGTTTGCTATTGATGGATCTCATGTGATTGACAGGTGGTTGTCCCGCCCTCACCCCACACACATCATCAGAGAAGAGAAGAGATGTCGCTGCAAAAGGGGAGGGAAGTTATTTGGATTAAAGATTACAAGGGCACATACATTTTAAAGAATAATAATACTAATTCATAACAAATACTGAAATGTTCTTTAAAAATAAATAAATAAATAAATAAATAAGAGTTGTCCGTTTTGATTAATGGTGACTAGAAAAATGTATATATATTCACTTAATAAATGTCAGTGACCATGGCTTTTTAAAATTCCTCGATATTTCTGTTGAAACCCTGAATATTTAAATATAAAAGAGACAGATAATACAGCCCGTTCTCATCCCAGGGCGTCATATACTGACGCTTTTGCATCCTTTAGCGTCATCATGAGACACAGATATATATGGGCCAGAAGGCGCCTCCTAGTGGTCTAACCCTACCACTACCCCAGACCTAAACCTACCCATAACCGAAGTGTGTTATATTGACACTAAAGGGTGCCATGTGCGTTGGATGTCTACGCATGGGCAAAAGCGTCAGTACATGACCTGTTCAGGAGTCTGACTAATCTCTCACACAATCAAATGCGGCTATAACTGAAAGACAAACATAAAGCAAACCGGTGGTACGTACTCTGGAGGTCTGGTGTCAGGGCCGAGGTCTCTGCTCAGAGAGATCCGATCACTGGCGTACAAGTTAAAGCAGTGCTTCTCCTCTCCTCTCTCCTTCTCTTTTTGCTCTGCCGAGCCCAGATTGTCCGTGCGAAACGCCTTCCCAGAAGCCCCCGGGGCGCTGGGGTTTTGCGGTGGCCTTTCCAGGACCGGTCGGAGTTCAGCGGCCGTGTAGTATCCGGACAGACAGGCCGGACTGCCCTCGCGCTCCTGCTGCCTCACAGGAGCTTTGATCTGCATCTTTGGCATGGCGTCCCGGAAGTTATTCACCGCCCCCATCACCATCCCGAGAACGCCATCCCGTTTCTCCACTATCCCTTTGAGCCAGGGTTCGTCCTGGGGGTTCTGACTGACCACCTCTCGCTGCATCAGAAACAGGAAAGTCACGAACACTAAAGCCACGAGGGCGAGCTTCCATGGGTGCAGTCGTCTGCGCATGAGCCTGCGGAGGAGTGGCATTCTGTGGAGGAGTTCAGCGAGTGGAAAACAAAGCTTCACCTGACACGCTCTCTGTGCCAAACATCACCGCCCGTCCAACCTGCGAACGGGAGAGAAAGGTGAGGACTAAAAGATGACTTGATAAAAAAATTAAAGTTAAAAAACTTTTGCTGATAATTGACACACACCCATGTCATTCAAGATGTCCACGTCATTCTTTCTTCAGTTGAAAAGAAATTAAGGTTTTTGATGAAAACATTCCAGGATTGTTCACCATATAATGGACTTCAATGGGAACCAAACGGTTTTAAGGTCCAAAAGACATTTTCAGTGCAAACTACAAACTGTTCAAGGGGCTTTAAACAATTTCAGACGATGAATAAGGGTCTTAAGCGAAACGATCGCTCATTTAAAAAAATGGCTTTGCTTGATAAGACCCTTATTCATCGCACTGAAAATGTCTTTTGGACCTTGAACCGTTTGGTTCCCATTGAAGTCCATTATATGGTGAAAAATCCTGGAATGTTTTCATCAAAAACCTTAATTTCTTTTCGACTGAAGAAAGAAAGACATGGACATCTTGGTTGACATGGGGGTGAGTAAATTATCAGCAAAAGTTTTTTTTTTTAAAGTGAACTACTCCTTTAAACACTTCAGACAAGCTTGAGAACGGAAAAGTTTGGAACTCCGGTTCTGAGCATCCAACATAAATGTTTTCTTTGATATTTAAGCCAATTTTAGGTAGCTGGGAAATCATTCTTCACATGAGAGGTAATTTGGGGAATTTAATTACTTTAACAACACTGCCTTGGGGTAAAACTTTCCAAATGATAATTGGGACTTTTAACCAATGGAAAAGTATTAATCATATTACAAACATCAGACAGACGAAAAAATGTCATTTTGATTTATCATAATATTTTTTTTCTTTCAACCCTCGAATGCATGTTGAGGTTTCCTAAGCCAAAGTAATGTGAATCAAAATTTATGCACATTCCCTTTATTTTTGTCAATGAAAAAACATTTTAATGACCACTTTTACATGTGAGATGGGGGAGTGTTGTCACAGAAATTTAGAGAAAAGCAAATAACTAAGATTTTATTTTAGTGTCATTGTTATATATTACTAGTAATAACTATAAATGATGCATAATTACATGTAACCGAACCAAACCCTAATTCCAACCCTTTACATTTTACTAAGTAAATGTATAATTACAGTGTAACAAAGACACCTTGAAATAAGGTGTAACCACACTTTACTATTTACTTTCTTTCCAATTAAATATAAACCTTAACATGAAAATGATATAGGCTATTTAATAAACCATTTGATCAATATATGTAAAAACAATTAGTTCACATGCTGAGGTATTCCTGATGACAGATAAAAATCAATTTAATGCGACACATGTTGCTTTATGGGCGTCATTTTGAGTAATTTTAGGGTTAATCATTATTAAAGCACAATAACACCATCTGCCCAAACTATCAGTGTCCAGTTAGCCTATGTAAACATCACGTAAACAAACGTTATAAAGCGGAGACAGTAAAGAAACAGAAAGACATACCGACTGCGCTTAAAACTCATTTCCAAAAGAGTTCAGAACTTCAACAACGACTGTCCCAAAGCAGAAGTGCTGACCACGGCGATGTCAAAGTGGAGTAATCTCAGCAGGACTTCCGCGTCGTGGATCCAGGTGCGCGTATTTCAGGTAAAAGGGGCGGGGCTTGCGTAATACGTGCGTAAATGCCACATCATGTACATTCATTCTCTTGTAAGGTGAGTCCAGCAACGTCAACATTAAACAAAAATGTTGCTCTTCCACTGAGAGAGTGGGTCATTTTTTTAGAGGAACATTAAAAAAAAACACATTTGAAAGGCACTTGACAGAATTTCTTTATTCTGAGCACCCTTCATACTTTTTTTTAGCTTTAGCCTATGAAAAGAATAATTCATAAAAAGTAAAATCTACTTTTTGTACTTTTTTAACTGTATTGTCACGGACATGCCCTCCGCTGGGATGTTGATAGGAGACACGGAGCAGGAACGCGTAAAATCAAGAAGAAAGGAACAGCGTGAGAGGCGCTATTCTTTACATCATTTCTTTCTGGGCGCAATCGGTGTTGCCTTTAGGGGTGTTTAAGCATTAATTAATTAAGTCAGAGCATTAATAACAGGCTACAATATTTATGTTACTCAAACCTAACACATCCACAACCGATATTTGTCTCAAAGCAGCGCATGCGGTTCATGCAGAATAACTTCAGTGATGCTGTCAATCGACAATGATAAACTCACTTTAGACATATTACCACAATAAATAACCCTATTACATATATGGTTGATGTAGAAAACACTTACCAGACATGCTCAGCCTGAGGATTTTAATCACCGGGTCCCCATGCACATGGAGTTATAAAGAGCTTCTGTGTTTGCAGAGCAAAGAAAAGAAACCGGACACGAACCGGACAAGAGAAGAATACCAGAGAGGCTCAGTGTTCATCTGTAGGGTCCTAGAAATTTAA